GAAACGTCAGCCTTCCTGCTCCTATGATGCTGCTTGGCCTGCTGTGTTCATCCAGCTCTACACCTTGTTATCTCAGATTCTCCAATGTCTGCAGCTCCTCCTATCTCCATTTGTATTGACACTGTTTGAATTGCAGCAGGCATTCTGTAGCTGAAGAGAATCAGGATTACAATTGTATTTGCTACATTACACTTAAGTGTACTATAGAGCTGCTCATGTATTGTTGGGAATAATTAAAGATAAAGACTTCAATTTCTATACTGCTTTTCGTCATCTCAAGATATCCGAAAGAGCTTTGCAGCCTTTGATTGTAATCACTGCGTAAGTGTTGGAACATTATGCACAGCAAGCTCTCAGAACATCTTTCAGTGGTTGATGGTTGGAGAATGAACACTGACTGGGACATGGTGAAAATGCCCCCTTTTTAAAAAAAAGTGTTTGGAATAGTTGCTACCTGAGCGGGCAGATGGACCTCGATTTAAGATTTCGGCTGAAAGACGATACCACCCACCCCTTTCACCTGCAGCATTCTCTCAGGACTGCATTGGGAATGTCAGCATAGATTAGGTACTCAAGTCCCTGAAGTCGTATGACCTTCAGATACAGAAAGCTCCTGAAAGAACACATTACAGCAACCATTATGGCTGTCATCTTGATGGCGTTATTATAGATAAAGGAGTCTGCTTTGTGTTTAAGGTTCCATTGTTGAGAGTGACTTTTCTTTCCCTTTTCCTGCAGGCCGAAGTGTGTTACATCTTGCTGCACAGCATGGGCAGCCACTCTGTTTGCAGCGGTTACTCCAGGTATTTGGAATTACTTGTAATGAAAACAGAAAGCGTTGCAAAGTCTGTGGAGAAAGAAAAAGAGTTAACGGTTTGAGTCGACTATTTCTTCAGAGTGAACATTGAAATCGCCCTGTTGTATAATGACCCTGTTGGAGTAAATGTCATCGACCACGTTAGCCAAATTATTCATGTCAACTCCTGGTAGTATAAATATTCAATGGAAAAATTGAAATGAGCTTTCAAGACTTGATCTAAAGTGAGAGCATTTTAGTGTGGAATACACAAGTCAGAGTCAGAATCCCTACAGTGTAGATAGAGGCCATTTGGCCCATTGACTCTGCACCAACCCTCCGAAGAGAACCCTACCCTTCCCCATGACCCCACAGTTATCATTATGAACCCACCTATCCTGCATATCCCTGGACACTAGGGGCAATTTATCACGACCAATTCACCTAACCTGCGCATCTTTGGGCTGTGGGAGGAAACCAGAGCACCCGGAGGAAACCCACGCAGACACAAGGAGAACATGCAAACTCCACACAGACAGTTGCCCGAGGCTGGAATCTAATCCGGGTTCCTGGCGCTGTGAGGCAGCAGTGCGAACCACTGAGCTACCGTGCTGCCCGTGAAGTACAGTATATACATGAAGTATGTAGTTCCTAAATTCAACTGCATTATTTTGGATTTTTACAGTCCCTAAAATGCAGTCAACATCTTTTTGCTGGATTTGTTGATGACAGTTGGAGAGAAATTTAGAAGTCTTTCCCTTGACTCTTCCGAGAATTTCCATCCGTATAAGGTTGGGCTGGGAGATTAGGAGCATCACCTTCTCTGTTCTGGATGGGCCGACGTTTGATTGATAAGCAACCTGTCCTCTCATCTGTCTTTGTGTTTGTGTGGTGTTTACAGAACAGTGACAGGCCCTTCAGCCCAGCAGGTCCACAGTCGAGTTCATAGTCCACATACACCTCCTGTCATGCCTCTTTATCTCATGCTATCTATCAGGTATCCTTTTATTGAGCTCTGTTCATGGGATGTGGATGATAATGGCTGGAATATCATTTAGTGACCTTGGAGGTGGTGGTGAGCCGTCATCTTAAACCACTGAAGTCCTTTCTTCCTCATCTACCTTCATGTTGAATGTTTTTAATTCTTAATTTTGCCCACTCCTTGAGTTCTATATTCACACTACTCTGGGTAGAGACATTTCACCTGAATTCCTTTTATTAAATTTGTTATTGACTATCTTTTTCAGTTGTTTTATTTTTGCATGCATTTACATTTCGGTTTATAGTTGACCATTTAGTATGGGATCTGAATAGAGACGCTTGACTAGCAATAGTGAAGTAGAAGTAAATTTGACCACAAACCAGTTAATGGTCGATTTTGCTTCATTGTGCAAACCCATTAGTTTTAAAATCAGGCTGCCTTGTCTCCTGGACTATGATTGGTTCACGGGTGTTGGTTTGTTGCTAAATTCCAGTGGGCAACAGATTTCACTCGCCTAAGGCCGTTGTGTTAAACATCATGAGAAGAACAAGTCAAAGTTTCTACTTAGTGACCTAGTCAAATATATATATAAATAAAATTCTTCAGAGGCATCACTTTTTTTTCCTTCGGGTAGTTTATTACCCAGAATGAGCGAGTTGTCTTAGGATAGTTTGGAGAGACTGGGCTTTTTCCATTGGAGTTTAGAAGAGTGAGGGGGATGTGATTGAAGTGGGCTTGACAAGGTGGACATGGAAAGAAAATTTCCTCATGCAGAGGTGCCCAGAAACTAGGTGGCCCGGTTTTAAAATTAGGTGTTGCCTTTTCAGGCTGAAGGTGACAATATTTTTCAGGTTTTTTGAGGGTTGAGCAACTTTGGAACACTGTGCCTCAGAAAGCGGTAGAAGCTTCATTAAGTAGTTTTAAGGCACAAGTGGGTTCTTGTTACGCATGTGAATCAAAGGTTATTGGGGTAGATGAGAATGTGAAATTTGAAATACCATAAGATCAACCTTATTGAAAAGCAGAACAGGCTTGAGGGTCTGAATGGTCTACATCTGCTTGTAATTAATCTGTTAGCCATCCAGAAGCTACTTATGGTGAGAGCTTGGGTTCAGTTGCCAGGTTCTTTGTACCTTTAGAGGGTGTCTTTCGTGGAGCAAAGGTTAAAGAGCAGTGTGAAGCAATGCTAACTGTGAAGGAGCAGAGATCAAGTTGTGAGAATTCATGCTTCATTTGAGACCAAGCGCTTCCCTATGCAGCTGTAATAAAATATGCTGATTAAATATTTATTCCACGATTGAGTGTGTTTCCTTATTGCTCACTTGTACTAAACAACAAATGAATTTGTTTTGCAGCAAAATTGCCCTGTTGACAGTGTAGATCTTCGTGGTAGATCTGCCCTTCACAATGCAGGTCAGTATAAGAGAACACATATTACTTGTTTGTTTAGAAGCTCTGTACATAGCTTAGTGGCATTCTGATGTTTCATACATCCAGATAGCGAATCACTGTTGTCTCTAGAATTTCAATACAGAGCATTAGCAAATTTTAACAATGTTCACTTATGCTGCTGAAGCGCAAGCAATACGTTTATAGTCTTCCAAATTCGCTGATGGAGAAAATGTTCTGGTGAATCTATGGAATTCTTTACCACAGAGGGCTGTTGAGGTGGGGTCATGAAGTGCATTCAAGGCTGATACAAGACAGTCAGATATTCAATCCATAAGGAAATCAAGGGTTATTTGGGGAAAAGGCAGGAAAGTGGAGTTGAGGATTTTCAGATCAACCTTGATCTCTTTGAATGGTGGAGCAGACTCATGGGCCAAATAGCCTCCTTACATTGCTATGTCTTTACAAATGCCTCATGTTCAAAGATACATTTTTAAGTGAAAGGTACCATTTAGTTAGTTTTGAGTTCATTCAGTTAGGGTGAGACTATAATCTCTCAAAACATCATTTTAATTCTTCAAAGTTTTAATCCTTCAAACACTGGGAATTGTTTAAAACACCAAATAAACTTGATTCAGGACAATGAGGTCGATCAGGTATGGAGTTCTTGAGTACGAATTGTACTGATCAAATTAAAGTTCCCTTTATGATTTAGTTGAATAGATAAATTACTTTCATTGTACAAAGGAATGGGGTCGTAAGAGCCGGAAGCAGGTGATGATGCTCATTTGAAAAAGAGGCTGAAAGACCTCCTGCATGGAAACACTTCTGTGATTGTGATAAATGAATTTGATTAAAACAAATATGTCTTTGAAACAGATGAGACTTAAACCCAGAATTTCTGGCCCAGGGGGATGCGACACTACTACTGTGCCACCAGACCCATTGCAATGATGCGTGTGTACTTAGATCCATTCTTGTTTACAATCATTGATCTAACTGTGTTTATAATTCAGCACAGACTTTCACAGCCCTGGGGAATCCCAAAATGCTTTGTTGCTAATGCAGTACTTTTGAAGTGTAGGCACTATTGTAATATAGGAAACATGGCAACCAATTTGCACACAGCAAGATCTCACAAATAGCAAGACTGTAGGATGTATTTATGATCAATGAGTGAAGTTGTACTACTGATTACAACTGGTGAGTTGACTTTCCTGTACTTCACTTCTCCTTTTCTGAGGTTGTTGGATCCACTTCACTTGGGTCTGATGATGTGTCATGTAAATGATGCTTCATGGGCTGAGATACATGGAGTATGCAGCTGCTTATCTTATCCTGGAAACCCACCTTTCGCATTTGAGGAGAAGAATACAATTTGCTGCTTAACCTGTATCCTTCTTCTCAAATAAGCCTATCTAGCAGTGATCCTCGCTCCTTTTTTTTTTAAGAAAGGGGCTTGTTTTTACTTAAAAGTGGCTAGGTTCTATTGCTTAAACAAAAACAAAATACTGGAGAAACTCGGCATATCCGCTAGCATCTGCAGAGCGAGACAAACACAGTTAATGCTGGCTTTATGTCAGACTTGAATGTTGTTTGTTTTAGGTTTCAGCATCTATAGTATTTTGCTTTTATTCATGGTCATATTACTTGCTTGCCATAATGTCACGGAGAGCAAGTGTACATCGTGGAAGCCGTGCCTTATGTTAGTAGTACACTTGCCACTGAGCCACAGATTTCTGGGGTCAAGTCCCCCTCTGGGACCAAAGTACAGGTATTGAGGTTGACACTCCAGTGCAGTACTGAGGAATACTGAACAATCAGAGGTGTCATTTTTCCAGTTGAGATATTATGCAAAGTCCCGTCTGCCTGCTTAGGTGGAAGAAGAGCAAGATGTTTTCCCCGGGTACCCTGTCCAATGTTTATCTAATGCTCAACATGACACAAAAGTAGACTTTGCAGTCATTATCACTTTGCTGTTTGTGGGTATTTGCTGAGTTGCTACATTTGTTATATTACACAGACTTCACTTCAAAAAAAAATTCATTCACTGTTAAGTGTTTTGAGACATCTAGTTGTTGTGAAAAGTGATACTTAAATGCAAGTATTTCATTCCTTCTCTTACAGTATATAATATTACACGTTTTAAACAAATTGCTCCTGGTGTTTATACACCTCCTGCCCTTGCTTCATCCAACCAAATCGACATCTCTTTTGTTCCTTTTCAGTTTGTTTAGGTTTTTCTCAGCTGAATCGATGCTGTCTTTCATCATGCATTGTGTTACATTTTAATCTCTTTTGGGGTAAAGAACCTTCTTCTGACCTCCCAATTGGATTTATTAGTGACAGTCTTATTTATGGCCCCTTGTTTCCACAATCTTGAAGATGTCCAAGAGGTCATGCCCCAGCCTGAGTTATGGTGAAAAGGAGCTTGGCCTGTTCAGTCTATTGTTATTATAATTAAAGGATGGTAAGTCTCTCGTAACCAGCTGCAACCATTATTGTGCTTTCATCATCACAAGTTGAAGAGTTTCTTGTGATGTGAGCACACCAATACCAAAGAACTTCCTCATTAATCAATGAAGGAAATTGCACTGCAGCTTATCTGAGCTGACACATTGTTTCCTAAGAATTGTCGTGTTTGTGAGTAGTTATCTTGTGTATTCACACTCTGAAGTCAAGTTGTGCATCAATAAGTCCCTTTTGTTTTGGGACTGATTGACAATTTGTGATTACTATAGGAACAGGAGTAGGTCATTCGAGTCTGTTCCACCATTTAGTGAGATCATGGCTGATCTGTGGCCTAACTGCCTTTGGACTATATCCCTTAATAACTTTGCTTAACAAAAAAAAATCTACGTTAGATTTAAAACTAACAACTAATGTGTCCATGATAACTACCATACTGGAACACAGAGGTGGCATTCCTGCTTGTCCTATTTTATTGGGACTGTTCATGGAAATCAAAATACCACCTTGCCTGTGGCTCCAGAGCTATAGGAAAGAAAATAAAGACTTGTATTTATGTCACTTTCACTACCTGTAAATATCGAAAGTATTTTTTCACATATAATGTGGGTGTTAGTCTTATAGATAGATAGATTCTTGATTGGTAAAGGGATATAGGATTACATGGAGAAGGCAGGACAATGGGGTTGAGAGACATATCAGCCGTGAATGAATGATGGAGCAGGCTTGATGGGCCGATTGACCTAATTCTACTCCAGTAGCTTATGTTTTTATGGTTGCTGGCTAGGCCAGCATTTTTTTAATCTCCTACATCCCTAGTTGCCCTTGAACTGAATGGTTTGTTAGGCCATTTCAGAGAACAGTCAACCACATTGTTGTGGGTCTGAAACCATAAGTGGACCAGATCAATGAAGGTCAGATTTCCTTCCCTAAAGAAATTTAGTAAACCTAATGGGTTTTTACAACAATTGACCACAGGTCTCTTAGTCACCACTACTGAGACTAGTTTTACATCCAGATTTATTGATTAAATTTAAAATTCCACCAGCTTCCTCTGTAGGATTATGAATCCATGTCCTCCCAGAACGTTAATCTGGGTCACTGGATTTGTGGAAGAGTGTTTCAAACCTCAACTCTCCTTTTTGTGCAGAAGTGCTTCCTAACATCTCTCCTGAGTGGCCTTTCCCTAATTCTCAGATGATGCCTCTTTTGATCTAGAATCTCCGACCAGTGGAAATAGTATATTTTTATTTACCCTATCTTTTCCTGTTAATATCTTGAAGACTTTAAGAAGATCACCCCTTAACCTTTTAAATTCTGGAAAAAAACAGACCTGATTTTATAATTGCCCCTCATACCCGGACTTAAGGGGTTAAGTTACAAAGCAGTGGCTTTAATTCTTTGATGTGGAGGTGCAGGTGTTGGACTGGGGTGGTCAAGGTCAGAAATTAGACGATCCCAGGTTGTAGTCCAACAGATTTATTTGAAATCACAAACTTTCGGAGGGCTGCTCCTTGGCCAGGTGGATTCTTTGGGTTGCACTTTCCTAATAGTTGTATAAAACACAGAAACAGGCATTTTGGCTCAACTTGCCCATGCTGACCACATTTCCTAAACTGAAATAGTCACATTTTTGTTTGGCCTATATCCCTCTAAACCCTTCCTATGCATGTCTGTCTAAATGCCTTTTAAAATGTAATTGTATCAGCCTCTACCACTTCCTCTGGCAGCTCATTCCATACACACACCGTTCACTGTGTGAAAATGTTGCCCCTCAAGTCCCTTTTAAATCTTGCTCCCTCACCTTAAACCTGTGCCTCTAGGTTTGGAATCCCACACGCTGGAGCAAAGACCTTGGGTATTCGCCCTATCTATGCCCCTCATGTTTTATAAAGCCTATAAGGTCACCTCTCAGCCTCCTCCACTCCAAGGGGAAAAAAGGTCCCATCCTATCCTGACAATTCAAACCCTCCAGTCATGGTAACATCATTGTAAATCTCTTTTTACGCACATTGTTGCAACTATCCCACACCATGCTGCTCATCATTCTTGTCAGCACATTAGTAAGCTGTTTAAGCAAACAGAAATAATCAAGAGCATATTAGAACAGAAAGATTATCTGAAGTTTACTCCATTGTGACAGAGCATAAATTAAAGTAGGAGTAGGCCATTTGGTCTTTGGGTCTGCTACCCCTTTCTATCTGACTCCCTGTTCCTGCACTTTCTCCATACCCTTTGACTTGTTGTTCCCTTAACAATCATATTAAGCTGGAGGGAGTTAAAATTTAGAATTAATGTGCCTATGGAAAAGCAGACTTCAGGGTCTGATGATGTTTAATGTTTGCAAGTAAAATTGCATTGAATTTAACGCATGAAAGCAGGCCATTCTTGTTTCATGGGATTGACTGGTGGGTCTTCAGCAAACAGAATGAAATATCTAGATGGTTGGGTTTCACTGTTGTGATTGTGTCCTGTATTGTAGCGGTAGCTGGCTGCCCAGCATGTGTGAAGCTGCTGCTGGACCATGAGGCTGCTGTGAACATCAAGGATGTGGTAAGTAGAACCTTGGAAATGTGGCTGTTTAGAGTAGATGGTGGTGTAAAAGTTTAGAAATTTCAAAACTATTTCATTTTTATCTAAAACTGTCTATTTATTTTGGCTGTTAAGTGAACGAATGTTTGTAAAACCCGATTTTTTTTTTTTTTTTTTTTTTTTTTTTTTTTTTTTTTTTTTTTTTTGGTTTGATGGCTCTGGCCAGTCAGTTACCCAGGATAGGATACACCTTTTTACAGCACTTGCTGTTCAGTCCATTCGATGTTTTATGCTCTATGTAAACCTTCTCCTTCCTCCCACCCTTTCAGCTCACCCCACCAGCACATCCTTCCATTTCTTTCTCTCTCGCATGTTTATCTAGTTTCCCTTTAAATGCTTTGACATTTGCTTGAAATATACCATGTTCCACACTCCAGCCACTGTCTTCAATTTCTTCCTCTTCCATTCTTCACTGGATTCATTACTGACTGTTTTATATTCATGGCTCCTAATCCTGTTCTCCCTTGCATCTTCTCATCTGCCCAGTCAAACCCTCTGTCAATTTTAATGACTGCTGTTAGGTCACCCCATGACTGTCTCTTCTAGAGAATTCCCGATAGTTATGACCTCTCAGTTTTGGTTTGAATCCACCCAAAATACTTTTGCACCTTCTCCAATGCCACTATAATCCTTTTACTCGTAATGTGAGAACTGTTTAATTTGCCCCATGTGTGGCATGTAAGTTTACCATCGCAGCTTTTCAAATCTGTTCACCTGGAAATTAACCTCCATGCTGTACAAAGCGCAGAGAATGCTGGCAAAGCTCAGCATGTCGGGCAGCATCTGTGGAGAGAGAGAAATGGTTAACATTTCCAGTCCAGTACAACACTTCTTCAGAACGCAAGTCATACCAGACTTGAAATATTAACTCTCTTTCTCTCTTAGATGTTGCCAGGCCTGCTAAGTTTTGTTGGCATTCTCTGCTCATTTCAGATTTCCAGTATGCTTTTAACCACAGTGCTGTTTGTAACTTTTTAGTTTTGGCCTTGTCAACTTGTGTTGTACGGTCTGTAGATGCTGCTTGAGTGAGGCCGGGATGACGGCCAATTTTAGCTCAATTAGCTGGATTGCTGATTGTGATGCCAGTAGCGTGGGTTCAAAAACTTGCACTGGTTGAGGTTACCATGAAGTATTCTTGTCAATTTCTCCCCTTGCCTGGAGTGTGGTGACCCTTTGGTTAAACCATCACCAGTCATCTCTCTCAACGAGTCTGTAGGACTATGGAAACTTTTTCTTTTATCCTATTAATCACTGTGTGTTTTAACTTCTCTGTTGCAGGACGGACAGACCCCTCTCATGTTGGCCACACAAAAGTGTTATCCAGAAATCTGTCGGCTTTTACTGGAGCGAGGAGCAGACGTCAACTCGAGGGATAAGCAAAACAAGTAACCTTTTTTTTAAAAAAGAAAATGTTAATTTTAAACAAATCCATTGCATTAAAGCTCAGCTCTCCTTTCTAGTTAAACAATTTACTATTGTAGCCAACAGTGGATGGCTAAGTCACATCGCCCAGGCTGACCCTGGTTTTATATTAAGAACAGACATAGATGTCTGATCATCAGACGCCATTTCTGCCACCACCAGACACACATTCTCCTCCCCTCCCTTGTCTGCCTTGCGCAGGGACTGTTCCCTCCGGGACACCCTGGTCCACACTTAGTTCACCCCCAGCACACCCCACGGCCCTATGGCACCCTCCCCTGTAACCGGCGAAGGTGCAACACCTGCCCATTTACCTCCTCCCTCCCCAGTATCCAAGGGCCCAAACATACTTTCCAGATGAACATTTCACCTGCACTTCCCAGAATCTAGTCTCCTGCATTAGCTGCTCACAATGTGGTCTCCTCTACATTGGGGAAACAAAGCATAGACTTGGCGACCGCTTCACAGAACATCTACGTTTCGCTGTCAAAAAAGACCCTGAACTACCTGTTGCCTGCCCTAGTAAGGCACCACCTTGTTCCCTGGCCAACATCTCCATCTCTGGCTTGCTGCAGTGTTCTAGTGAAGCTCAACGCAAGCTGGAAGAACAACACCTCATTTTCCGCTTGGGAACCCTGCAGCCCTCCAGACTCAATATCAAGTTCAATAATTTTAGGGCCTAAACTCTCCCATGTCCCATCCCCCTACGCCACACACCAGGCCTTGTTACCACATAGCCTGCCATTACACATCACCTGTTGTTAGTCACTAATAGCCCCCACTAACCACTATTCACCCTGCCAGCCTGATCGTTATCAACTTTGTCTGTCCAACTGCTCTTCTCTCTGTTTAGGCTAATTCCTATCATTTACTCCCTTCCCCAACCCCCTCCCCCCTATTTTCTGCATGTAAACTTTTGTTCCTGATTTACAACATCTGCAGTTTGTTTTCAGTTTTTATTTAGACATTGATGTCTGACAGCACTGAAATAATATTTATACAATGTTAGCTGACTGGAAGTTTTACTCTTGAACCCACAGCCCTTGTGACTCAAAAGCCACTGAATCAAACCGACAAACCTCCCCAGACGACGTGCACATTAAGCCAAGATAAATGGGCGTTTTTATTTCTTCCTTCATTGTAGTGCCTACGTGCAGTCTGTGGAGAGAGTGCATGGCTCCATTGCCCTTCATTATCTTATTTGACCTTTGCTGATGTTGACATATTTAACAGAGATAATGGTGACTGTCATTTTTTTCTCTCTGAGAGAAACTAAAGCAAATAGAGCTGAATTGTTGGTGTACAAGTCATGTATTATCTTCAGTACCTAAATAAATCACTAACTGTTGAGACAGGATAATGTTATGATAGTAAAGATGTTGGCATGCGGTAGCCTTTTCATGAAGCACTAGTTCAAAACTTGTTTAAAATTGGAAAGTTATACTTCAGTTCAAACTTCTCTCCTGAGTCTTGCATTTACCTGACATCTCCCATTTCAGGACTGCTTTGATGATGGGGTGTGAGACTGGTTGTAAGGATGCAGTGGAGGTCCTCTTAAATCGTGGTGCTGATGTCACTTTGATGGATGACTATGGCCACAAGAGTTTGTATTACGCGCAACTCTCCAAAGACCCAGAGTTGTTGGCTTTGGCGAGAGCAGCAATGGAGAAGAAAATGAAAGGTGAGATTATTGCTGTGAATGCAGACTGTGCGTGAAGTTCAGGTGGATTTATTTTAGGGCTTGATTCTGTTTTGTGTTCCAGGAGTAACAGCTGTTATGTGCATTGGCAGGCTGCTTGTTTTTGTTGTGTCATTTGTCTTCCTTCTCCCCAAACCTTTCTGAAGTATGAACATATGATGGAACTGAAACAGATGGAAACTGATTTTAATAATGTATGTAGTCACTTCAGAAATTTGTTCTAATTTGTGGGGTTAAACTGAATTTTAGAGTTCACACTGATGCCTTTCCACATATAGGAAGGCATGAAGAACCCTGGTCAGTTGCAACAATTGTTAGAATTTGGAATTTGATTTTGAATTGCTTTTTGTGAATGAATGAGATGTTCGGGTACTGTGTGTAGAATTCTGACGCTGACTGCTATATAAGAGCTACAGAGAGAATGAGGTGAAATAGCATGGATATGTTAAGACAAATTTGATATGTAATGAACTGAAGGATATGAATGTAGAGTGAAACCAAGTTGGGAAGCAGTGGCCTAGTGGTATTATTGCTGGCCAGTTAATCAAGAAACACTTAAACCATAATGTTCTGGGTGCCTGGATTCAAATCCCACTATGGCAGATGGTGGAATTTGAATTCAATTTTTAAAAAAAAAATGTGGAATTAAGTGTGTGATCATGACCATGAATCCTTCGATTGTTGGAAAAACCCATCTGGTTTGCTAATGTCGTTTAGGGAAGGAAACTGCCAATTTTTCATAGTCTAGAGTATGTGACTCCAGACCCACAGCAATGTGGTTGACTCTTAACTGCCCTCTGGGTAATAAATGCTGCCTAGCCAGCAACGCCCTCATCTGTGAATGAATTAAAAAAAAGTGGGATGGGAGAAGTTTCCAATGGCACAAGTGCTAGCACAGACCAGAAGACTGGCCCATTCCTGTGCTGTTCAATCTTCATAATTCTATCATAAAATCTCTGGCAACATTTAGAGTAGAGAGTAGAATGTTGAGTCATTTGTTAAAAAGCAATATACCCTCTCAGCTGCATGTCATAGAGTCATGGCGATATACAGTATGGAAACAGACCCTCCAGTCCAACTTGTCCATTCTAACCAGATACCCTAACTAAATCTAATCCCGTTTGCCAGCATTTGGCCCATATCCCTCTAACCATGTAACCATTAGATGCCTTTTAAATGTTGTAATTGTACCAGCCTCCCCCACTTCCTCTGGCAGCTGGTTCCATACACGCACCACCCTCTGTGTGGAAAAAGTTACTCCCATAGATCTCTTTTTAAATTTTTTCCCCTCTCACCTTAAACCTATGCCGTTTAGCTTTGTACACCCCCCACCCTGGGGAAAAGACTTTGTCTATTTACCCTATCCATGCCCCACATGATTTTATAAACTCTATAAGGTCACCCCTCAGCCACTGATGTTCCAGGGAAAATAGCCCCAGTCTATTCAGCCTCTCCCTAAATCTCAAACCCTCCAATCCTGGTAATATCCTTGTAAATCTTATCTGAACCCTTTCAAGTTTTGCAACATCCTTCCTATAGCAGAGAGACCAGAATTGCATGCAGTATTCCAATCATGGCCTAACCAATGTCCTGTACAGCCGCAACATGATCTCCCAACTCCTATACTCCATATACTGAACAATGTCTGTCCCTTTTAAGCTGTCATTCATGTGTAGTTGGACAATGACTTTAAAGGAGTTATGCACATAAACCAACTGTGCCTCGTCCAAAAAAACGGAGAAATTGGTGGAATAGGAAATGGCTGTTCAGAACTTCAGATGTATCTACCTTCCATACCAAAGTTTAGACAGGTTTGTAACACAACTACTCATTATCTGTGCCAGACATCCACACAGGTGTATAATTCAAAGCAGTTGACTTAACTTCTCTAATCTAGATAAATTATCTAGATGTCTGGGTGAGTTAATTGCACAGATAAGGAAGGGTTTCATAATGGAAAAGGCATTAACAGCCTACCTTCTGTGTTAGGTCAAGTGTATTCTATTATCTGTATGCTGAAGCAATGCACTTTATTGAAGCAGCATTAATTAGTATTTTATTGGTGGCTGCCTAATCTGTTATGTGCAACAAAAGAGAGGTTTTCCATTTGATTCGGCGCTGTGAGATTCTATCGACAGAAAGGGCAGATTATTCTGTCCAGAGATGATAGGAACTGCTGATGCTGGAGAATCTGAGATAACAAGGTGTAGAGCTGGATGAACACAGCAGGCCAAGCAGAATCAGAGGAGCAGGAAAGCTGACGTTTCGGGCCTAGACCCTTCTTCAGAAATGTGGGAGGGGAAGGGGGTTCTGAAATAAATAGGGAGAGAGGGGGAGGCAGATAGAAGATGGATAAAGGAGAAGATAGGTGGAGAGGAGACAGACAGGTCAAAGAGGCGGGGATGGAGCCAGTAAAGGTGAGTGTAGGTGGGGTGTTAGGGAGGAGATAGGTCAGTCCAGGGAGGACGGACAGGTCAAGGGGGCAGGATGAGGTTAGTAGGTAGGAGATGGGGGTGGGGCTTGAGGTGGGAGGAGGGGATAGGTGGGAGGAAGGACAGGTTAGGGAGGCGGGGACAAGCTGGGCTGGTTTTGGGATGTGGTCGGGGGAGGGGAGATTTTGAAGCTTGTGAAATCCACATTGATACCATTGGGCTGCAGGGTTCCCAAGCGGAATATGAGGTGCTGTCGCTGCAGCCTGTCCGGATGTCTCTCTTTCAGGTTCCTTATTGTCGTGAAAGATGAAATGTCTTTTCTCTTTCATGCTGTTGACTTGACCTATCTTGTATGTCGTTTTTTATTTCTAATTCTGATTTCCACTATTTATTGTTTTTTTTTTCTTTCCTTCCCCCATGTTTTATTGGCTGTTAAAACCTGAGGAGGAAATCACCAGATTTGCTGTAAATTGGTCAATCAGCATTCAGAAAAAAATCGTCTTTGTGCTGTCTGCTTTGTCGTGATTCTTTCCATGACTATATGTAATTAGGGCATACTGTGTTTCACTGCTTTTTCATTTACTCAGCGGGTCAGAAGGAAAATAAGACGACACGAGGGGGCGGGGGCGGGGTGGTGCTTGAGGCAATTATGCAAGAGTGTTTGAGTCATGTGGCACTATCTGAAGGACAATAGACTTGATGACATTTTCCCCTGAGTTGTGAGAAAGGAAGGGTGTGTCCCCTGTAGAATACAACTGATTGATTGATTGCATTTGAGTTGCGTGATTTGTGAAGTTTGATTAGTTGGCTGAAGTTTGAATAATTAAGACTTTCTCCACTGCTGCAAGATCTGCTACGTTTCTCCACTTCCTATTCGTTTTCTAAAAAGATTTCCAGCATCTGTAGAGTTTTGCTGTTTTCAGATTTGAGATAAGACTCCCATGCAGGAGTTGAGAATTTTTGCAGAGAGTTGTGATTTGGAGCACACTGTCTGGAGGGGTGGTGGAGACGGATCAAACATTTTCTAAAGAAAATTGAAATTATACTCATAGTAGAAATTTTCTTTGGAAAATGGCTTCAGTGGAACTCATTGGAAAGCGTAGCTTCTTCTGCTGGCAATCTTTCACTAATTTTGTACGGTGATGAATAGGAATCAAATGCATGTGTAAAAGTAATACAGATGCTGGAGAAACTCCAGCTCTGGCAGCATCTGTAGCGAGAAACAGTTAATGTTTTGAGTCTAGTATGACTGTTCTTCAGAACTGCTGAGTTTATCCAGCATTCCCTGTGTTTGAATCGAATACATGCATTGGCAATTGGCTGAAATGGAACCAACAGGGAGAGTCTGATAAATGTCTGGTTCATCCATGTTGAGTAAACAAAATAGTAAAAGGTGGGACATTTTCTGCTGTGTAGCTGATATTGTATTGTAGCTTGTGAACTGCGACATTTTTGCCTGATAAAAGCAGTTGCTTATGATTTGTTAGATACCCTAACGTCTTGGGACAATAATCTGTCTGTCTAATCTTTTGCCCTACCTAATGTAAATAACCATCAAATAAAACCGCAGGTATAATAAAAACTGGAAAACGCCAGAAATATGCTGTGGTCGCTGTTTGCATCTATAATAAAGTTAAATTAGTGCTTTTGTTTATAGACCCTTGTATTTGCAAGTACGCATCACAGGGTACCCTGCAGTTAACCAACAATCTGAAATCTGCTGCTAACTATGGCTTGGCCTCACCCTTTTCCTTGGAGTCAAAAGGTTATTTGTTGAAATCCAACTCCAGGAGTCCTGAGCATGTAGTGTAGCAGAGATACTGGGAGAGAGTTACTTTGGAGGTGCTCCCTTTTGAGTGAAATGTGCATCCGAGATCCCTCAGTTGTATGTAAAATACTCAGTGGTCCATGGTGAAGATGAGTCATCCTAGATACCCTTTGAACAATGCTATTTTTAAAAATAGCAATCTTTATCTGGTGGTTTCATATTGCAGTTTGTGGGAGCTTGCCATGTGCAAACTGACTGCCACGTTTCCTGTATTAAACAGTGGTTTACTTTCAAAAGTAATTCAGTGACTGTAAAGAGTCTGTGAAATCCCATACTCATGAAAGGCTGCGTATAACTGCAAAGGTAGTACTGATTGGCAAGACATCATACTGTGGTTCTGGTTTCTAATCCCTGGCTTCTTGGGGTTTGGTCCCTTTTGGGGAGTTGGGATTGTGAAATATCTTGAATCATGGACATGACAGTGCCTCTTTGTGTGAGAATGGACTGATGGTTGGATGTGCGTAACTGGACTAAGGATTAAGAAGCTATACCATTGCCTTGTTAAGGCCTGTCCTCAGCTTTATGTTGCCGTTATAAATTCATGCAATATGTTAACCATGGAAATTAATAATCACTATGATTACACCCCGTTGTCAACAGTATTGCAGAGTTCAGAGCATGCCATGCTTATATAAACATAATACTTAGGAATTGATGCTGGAAGAAGTTGCCAGCAGATATGTACAGATGTAATTCTAACATGCACATAGATTGTTCAAAAC